CTTGTGCGGAATCCTGTGGCAGCACATGACACACGTCAGACTTGCCATCCGACCAAGCATTAAATGGTGGGCACTTCTGGCATGTTCCATTGATGAACTGAGTGTGGGGTTCGCAGAATGTGCAGGTATTCATTATGTCTTGCAGCATCACAACTTGACGGTCAGTGTAAGCCTGCCTGGTGGTCTGGTTGTTGGCACAGGTGCACCGTTGAAGCATGCCTCCGGATACCGATGCTGCCAACGGGCAAATAAGCAATGGAGTGCTCAGGGCACGCAGCTCGCTCCCGGTTGCATTTAAAGCAACTCCGTGGGTGCAGTTCTTACATGAAACATCCAATGAATCGGCTTTGAAGCTGTCTATTGTGGCCAACACAAGGACATCGTGCAACGGCGGCTCGTAGTCAATGCTGACATCTCTCACCACAACCTTGTGCGCCTGTGTGCTCAATAGGGGGCTGGACCACGACTGAAGGTGTATGCCAGAAAGATGAACGACTTCAAACGGGCATGTCTCCAAGGAAAGGAAGCCCGAGCCCAAACGCCCGCTAGCTTTCAAGGATGCTCCGGCTGCTATCTCGACAGTGCGGTTTGCCAGGGCGCTTGGGCAATCGCTGTTTCGCAAGTCAAGGCCGAGGCCTCCGACGGCATCTTCCAAAAGCACCGTCGCACCCGGGCTGAGTTGTAGAGACCTTGCAGCCACCACACTGGAAAGATCACTGCCGACTGCCTTATGCACATAGAGGCCGGACCCAGGACCCAGGAAAACACGGTCCTGCACAAACCCTGCAGCACCCTTTCCCGTTGACCTGGAGTCGCTGACGACAAACATCCCATCATGCAAGGCCAATCCAGGCGGGGAATCGCCTGACAGCATGTTTTTGATGCTTCACCTAGGGGCCTGCATCCTGTGCCTTCATCTTGGGTTGACTAGCTTAAAAAGACCTTGCTGTGAGTGCAAGCAGAAGACTTCGTGTGGAGAGGGAGGCGTACAACCTCAGATGGAAACCGCCTCCATCCTCCTCACAGGAAGTGTTGGAGGTAGCCAGTGTGGAAGAACCTGCGATGGTAATGGTCCCTTCCGCATGAAGGCCGCCTCCGCTGCGACCTGCTGTGGCATTCTGAATATGGACATCGGAGCTCTCGTTGAGAAGCAAGCTCTCAAACACCGCGACTCCGCCACCATCTAGGAGCGTCGTGTGGCAGTCGGATGTGTGAACCTTGGACCAACCAGTAATCACTGCACGTCCATAAATGCAAAGCCCTCCTCCATCTACGCGTGCGGTGGCATTCCGAACACCTAGTGTCGAGCCATTGGCAACCACCAGCGCGTGCGAGCCGGCCTTAAAGTTGTCCGCATACACACCTCCTCCGCTGTTTCCCGCCGAGGTGGTCCGCAGGTCGATTGATGAGTTGCCCTCTAGGTAGAGTTTTGCTGTCTGGAAGCCTCCGCCACTCCCCTCGATGGCATGGCTGTCGGATACTGTAACCTTGGACTGCCCGGCGACCACTGCGTCGTCAGCACTGAAACCTCACCCACTCCCACCCGCCTGGGTCCTCTCGATTTGCACCGCCGATCGGGACGTTACTTCCAAACGCTTGCTGCAGAAGCCTCCGCTGTGCTCTCTAGAGGTGCTATCTCGAATCGTGATGAGCGAGTTGTTGGAGACCAAGACTCCCTGCTCTGCAGAGAAGCCACCCCCATACGAGGATGAAGAGGCAGTGTTGCGAATTGTGATCTTTGAGCCGTTATTGACCACAATATCTCCACGCCTTGCCGCGAAACCTCCACCCTCCAGCCGCGCCGCAGTGTTGGAAATGCTGATGGTCGAGCCGCCAGTCACCTGCACAGCAGCCAATGCACCGGCAAGTTCCTGTCTAACACTGAAGCCTCCACAGCATCCGTTTCTGGCGAAGGAATCGCTAACCGAGATCTGAGAGTTCTTCGCGACCACAATCGGGCCAAAGCTCGCGAAGCCGGCTCTGCTCTTCTCGACTACCGCCCTGCGAATACTAATTTCGGAGCCGTTGGACACAACAAGCCCTTGCCCGGCCGTGAAGCCGCCAATTTCTTGAGCAGCTGTGACATTCTCGAGAAAAACTGCTGAGTGATCGATCACTTGCAGAGTAGACGACGAAAACCCTCCTGAAAACGTCGATGCGTGGCTTTCTGATATTCGCAGCATGGAGTTGCTGGCAATTACCACCTGTCCAGGAGTGGAAAAGCCTCCGGCATAAGATGCGTTGGTGGCATGGATACTGAGTGTGGAGCTGTCGGCAAGAACCACGGCAGCTTCCGTTTTGTCGTGCCCAAACTGTGCATAGAAGCCTCCTCCGTCTGAACCTCCGCCGGCGGAGCAGTTGCGGATCGTGACTGCTCCATGGTCGGAGACCTGCAGCCTGTCAGTGAAAAATCCTCCGCCATGTCCATTGCCCCCACGGCAATCTGCAATCCGCATTTTCGAATGGCCAGTCACGAGGATCCTTCCATTTCTCCCCGTGTGAAACCCTCCCGCGTGCAGACCAGCAGTTGCATTGTCGATACTGATCACGGATTTGTTTCTTACCATTAGAGTCGCCTTTGCCCCTGCAGTGTCTGCAGCGTCGATTGCGAAAGCACCCCCAAGCTTGTAGGCGTAAACATTCCGAACTCTGAGTATCGAGCCGTCCTCAATCTGCAAGCTCCCAAATAGATAAAAGCCCCCGCCATCTTTTCGCATCGTCTGGCTGTCAGAAATCAGGAGCTTGGAAAAGACGGCAAGCATGACGGATCCCACAGACAGAAATCCTCCTCCTCGCCGCCCGGCGATGGTGTTTTCAATGCGAAGCGTTGAGCTGTGGCTGACGACCACCACGTTGCGATCCCTACTTGGGACAAAAGTGTTATTGCAGCCACATGCATAGAAACCTCCTCCGTGCCTTCCAGCAGTGCTGTTTTGGATGCCAACAACAGCATTGTTGGACATCTCTAGAAAGGCAGCGTAGAAGCCTCCACCATCTTTGGCATGACTGTCGGAAATCAGCACTTCAGAGTTGCCCCGAAAAAAAACTCTGGCTCGTGGTGCCGTGAACCCTCCTCCTGATCTTCCAGCTGAGACGTTCTGAAGCCTGATAGTTGAACCATCATCGACTTGCAGGCGACTCCGAGAAACAAATGCGCCGCCATCATATTTGGCGACATGGCCATTTACAACCGTGATCTCAGACATATTTGCAACGATGACCGAGCCTGAACGAGCATAGAATCCTCCTGCATACTGCTTGGCTCTGACATTCTGCATGTGAATGCCGGATTTGTTTGTGAGTTTCACGTATTTTCCCTGTGCGAGGAAGCCTCCAGCACTTCTTTCCGTGCTGGAATTGCGAATGTGGATGGCTGACCCATCAGTCGCAAGCACGCTCCCATTGACTGCAAAACCTCGATAGGTGCGTGCAGCAGACATCGCACACTGCTCAGACTACTAAGAACAAACACTGGTGGCCAGTCTCCATCTTCAGCTACGTAAGACATGCACTGACCTGAAACCTACGAGGTCCTACAAGCATTAGCGATAAACACGAGGGAGCATGCGCGGACCGGAAACCTCCTCCTGATCTTAAGGCTTGAGTGTGCTCGAGGTCGACATTGCCAGCGGCCATGTTGAGCATACCCTCTGCCATGAAGCCCCCTCCTGCTGCAGTGCGTGGGCTTCAGGCGGCACATGTCGCAGCTTTGTGTTCCTAGCCACATCTTCATGCCCTCAGCCTGTCGGGACTGTTGCCTCCTAAGATTGACTCGGCACGCCTCCATAGCAACCAGACCTCTACCGTGTCAAAAGGAATTGTTGGACGGTGCACTTCCCCCCTTTTACTCGCATCAGTAGTAGTGCTTAGGCCCTGAGCCTGGGGGACATGCTTCCAAAAGCAAACCTTCTTGCCCGGACTGCCAGAAATCCATAGGAACTCAAAGAGACACGGAAGGACAGTCCTAATCCAGCAGCTCGGGTTTGCCGGACTCGCACCAGCGATCTTTCCTTGCCCCCCCAAACCATTGCGTAGGTTCTGGCGACCGGGGTTTCTGGGACGTCAGCTCAGTTCGTGCTAATATCTCGTCAGAGCAATGTTGCATCTGAGAATCCTGAAGCCTCCTAATTGTTGATGGTTCGCAAGAGCAGATCTTCGGCTACATAGTCAGGACCACAAAAGTCTGAGCTTAGCTGGGCATACGGCTGAGTTTAGTTTTGCGTCTTCTTTCGGCCGTCCTCCCTACAGACATGACAGGCAAACAGACAGACAGACAGACACCTGCCCGCTGGTGGCGGCACTGGGGCCCACACCACAACGACCACCTCCGGCGGACTAATGCATGGGGCGGCCAGGGCGCAGGGTTCGTCGGGACTTGTGATTGTGTGGTCTAACTTGTTTGGAACTCGTGGCTCTAGAACAAGAGGCTTCGACTCAGGCGCATGCTGCTCGGATGAGGTGTAAAGTTTAATGGCTTTACAAAGCCATCCTGCTGTCCCCGGTCAAGCTTGTGGAGCAAGGGTGTGTGTGTGTGTGTGTGTCCACAGACTTCTGAACATGCCAAGTGATTCAGTCGGTTTGTGTGTGTATATATATAGATATGTACCTGTACATGTAGATGTAGATGCAGATGTGGATGTATGTGTATGTGTGGGTATGTATATATATATACATATGTGTGTGTATACATGTATGTATATAACTATATATATATATTTATATTTATAGGTATATGTGCGTAGCTGGACGAAAGAGAATAATGGGAAACCGGATCTGGGGCTTAAAATTAGTAAAATTAGGCTCCGCGATTGGTAAGGCCTTGAACTCGGGGATTAGGGTTTGGCTTGAGTTTCACACAAGTTCGGGGACGCCTTGGGGAAAACAAGGAAGGGGGAATCCTACCAAGGACTCCTGTTGCGTCGGGTTCCTGCATTCATCACCTCAACCACCAGCCCAATCGCCCAGTAGAGGTTTGTCTATGAGGGCAAAGGGTGCTAAGTTTAGCGATGAGACAAACCCAAGTGCTGCTTCAGGCTTGTTCTGGCCTCACCACTTGCGAAGAAGCCTCCACCTCGTGCCGCCGATGTCGCCTCCACAATGATTTGGGAGCCTCCTCGAAGACGCCTCTCAGGCAGGGCTGCCCAGCTGTGAGAGGAGTATGATCAACAGAAAGACTACGACTCCTCGTAAACTACCCCCTACAGAGCTGCTCATACTCTTGTTACGATTACTAGTACTCGTACAACCACGAGTGCTGTCAAAGACAAATAGAACGATAACACCAGAAACAGCAACCATAACACGCCACCCCAGCCCCCACCCCCCACCCCTCTGCCGCCACCACCACGGTCATCATGTTGTCTATAAATCTATTCTTCTCACCAACAGTGCTGTTGCTCCGTCGGCCAGACGGTCAGCTAGACGGCTGTCACAAACAGTTTCAATTCAACACTCCGGCAATTCAAAGCTCCACTTCAAGAGAATCACCATAAGTCCCAAGCCGTCTGAGGCGCTGCAGGCAGTCTCATGTATGCCTGCTATTTCCGCCAGGCGTCAGTGTTCCTGCTGTGTGAAGGCCCCCACCGTCCTCGTGTGGTGCATCATGGACACGCTCTGCCCTCATCTCTTTTTCCTACGGGGTTTGGGGCTTGAAACAAAGACCCGAAACCTTTAAACAAGATCCCAAACCCTCCGTCCTGCTCTGCCACGCTGCCGGCGACCTTGAGAATCGAGGCCTCGACGAGGGCAACGTCCTCGGAATTGCACTGCATGAGTCCAGTCAGTCGGCCCTACTACAGCCAGCCTGATGATACTCAATCCTCGCAGAGCACATGCGCACAAGCAGATGCCTTGCACACCTCCGAGCAACGACCTCAAAACGCGGTGCTTCTACGCACACCTACTCAAATATCCATCAGCACGAGCAGAAAGAACTATATCGCTCTCCGTTGTCTATGCCACCAAGGCAGCCCCATGCGCAATGTACCGCATTGCAAAAACCGTGACTCGTGTAGTAGCCCTAAACTTGAAAGCAGCACTGCGGGCCTGAGGGTAATCGTCACTTGGTGTGAGTGTTTAATTATCATGATTGCAAGCAGCTCGCCCTACGACGCGAAGACAGAGAAGCTATGTGCAAACATGCAAAAGCGAAAACACTGGCAGGGCTCAACAGATCGCAACAAATCTCATGTCTGAGCAGCTATATCACGATATGGCCGTTAGGATGGCAGATGTTCGGAGTTCCGAATTTGTGAAGCTCGCTTTAAGCAAGCATGTGGCCCTTCAGTTCTTCAAAAGCGTCGAACTTGGTTGTTCAGTTTCTATGACTCCCCATCACAAAAATGCACTGCTGTACATCAAAATACCACACGACTGGATTCGGCTGGATCATGCGGATGTGGGTGGGTAACAGCACGTGAGCACTCATTAACCGACAATGGGAGTATCCCTATATACTCGTTGCAGCACAGCGTCGCCACCAGCAGCCAAGCCACCACCCCAACGAGCTCCGCCACCTGTAACCTGCGTTTTCAGTGCCCGCATCTCGAATTCCCTTTCGTACGAAGGCGCAGGGCCTTGAGCATGCTAACAGTAGCTGCGTTGGCACGCTACTTGCGAATGTCAGAAACTCAGAATACCGCCTTCTTCCAGAAAAGATGTTCAGGTATGTTCAGCTTTGGATCAGACTTCCCAGTCTTGGGGCTTGATGCTAGAAGTTGAGAGCAAAATCAAATTAGCAAAGCAATGTTGAGACATGAGCAGGGTGGAAGAGAAGGATGTCAGGGGAACGTTTTCAACCAGCAACCAAGTCTGACACTTCTTCTTCTTGTTCGTCTCCAATAACCATGAACCCTAAACTCCAAACTTGCCTTGACACTGAAACCAATGGCTAAACCACGATATGGCGATTGCGCGAAGTGGCTGTGATGTTCGACCTTTCCAGCGTAAGGGCTCCTGCGACGTTAACCAAGACGTCTTTGGTTGAGGCACCAACGTCTGTCACAGATCCACACTCGCTCGTACACAGGGAAAGCATGCGTTTTGTGCCTGACAAGTCCCTGCTCTAGAGTCTTGAATATGACAACCCTAAAGCCTACCTATAGTCTCCATTGTAGTTCCTTTTTGGGGGTTACCTTTTAGGATCCTTAATGTAGAATTTGGTTAAACCAAAAAAAGGAACTACAATGGAGACTATAGGTAAAGCCTACACCCCAAAACCTGAACTGAAATTCGCAGAACTTTTGATCATCCTGGGCTCCTTTGCTGTGGAAGGTACCGCCGATTTGAGCGGAACGGTTTGGCGCACTCTGCTGCGTCTCCACCTGGGCGTCCTGAAAGAAGATGCTCCTCGGTATATTCCAGCCAGCTATATTCATTAATTCCTACCTATCGGCCTTTGCTTCTCGGGGCTTGAACATTTGGGGCGATCACATCTAGGCCAACTGGCACGATGAAGGCTTCTGAGCAGAGGGGGGATATAAGAGGCGCTGTGAGGCGCTCCAAAGGCCTTGTCTCGAGGATACCCTGTGGAACATGCGCCAGGACGTACTATGACGGATGCGTATATGGCAATTTCCAAATGAACAGCTACATATCATAGTCCTAGTTCTAACCAAATTAATTATAGTCCTACGACCACGGACTTGACTAGATGCCTCCAAAGCTTAAGATGTTGCGTAGTCCCTGCAATGCATTTTGAAACAAGACTGATCATGAAAAAACCTGTTTCAGGCAAGGGCGCTCTGCTTCGAAGCGCGCCGACCTCACGCGTAGGTTCCCGGTGATCCGCAAGGTGCCTTCCGTCTGAAGCGTCACGAAGCCGTCCCCAAGGAGCAGTGAGGCTTCCTCACTGTTGCCAGGCCCCAGAAGCTCGCAGACAGAGGCAGTTTGTGGCCTCAGCTGCAGCCTTCAGGCTTTTGGGTCTTTGTCCTACCACTGCCGGACTTAGGTTCTTGCAGCTCTCAACTTAAATCGAAGCAGGCGGCTGAATGCGGAAGCACCTCCCCACCGGTAGCTGATGGCCACAAAGGTCATCCCACTGGACCAGTTCGCAATCCTGAGGCCAAGAGGGTCGCCCTCAGGATTCGCAGTTCCGGCAATGCGGTCACCATCCGGCGAACCCCCGGCATAACAAGCCAAGACCTTTCGTAAACCCCAAACATCGAAAACTAGCCTCCAACCACGCAGAGCAGCACAAGCAAATCCAAGACGTCGGCAGACCTTCATGAATCGACCGACCCGACGACACGCCCTTCCTGACACAATTTCCCGATTGTGTCTGCCTGCTTTGTTTATCTGATTCCCGACTGGCTATAAGTCCCAAATCCAGAACTTTGACTTCAACTTGGAGCTGACATAAACCCCCGAGCCCTATAGACTTCAACCCCAGGCCTCGGTACTCCACTGCAGACGCCGCCCCGATATCTCAGAAGCCGGTACTGGGCCTGGGCCTGGGCCTGGGATTTGCTTCGGTATCAATGCAATTTCCGCAACTCGCCCTCCCGACAGTCGCCTGAATTTTGGGCGGCTTGTTTCACATCTTGTTCGGGTCTGTAGGTAAGCCGCACACCCTAAACTTCTCCTCTGCGAGCTTAACTTTCGAGATCAAAGCTAATGATGGGGTGATGGGGAAGAGAACCAGGATCTCTATCTGTCTGTCCGACTAGAAGTGCCCTACAAAAAGCGAAACAGGGTTTCTTTGGGAACATGTTGGAAACCATGCTCATGCACATCCTGTTGGTAGTAATATTTTAGGGCACACGGAAAGTCACGCTGGGTTTTGCATCTCCGCTCACTTGGCATCTGTGGTTGACTAGCGTCTCTGACTTCCGGGATTGAAGCTCCGCGTTTCAGGGTTTCGGATTTCACAATTGGGGTCACTGAAGCCGCCGGCATTGCTAAACGACCTGCAAGTGCTGAGAAAAGCTTTAACGAAGCTTCCCTACTACATGCATACACAGGTCGGTGCTACATTATTGTTTGCACCGTGGCGGTTGCGGGATGTGTTTGCGAAGTACATGCCAGGCAGTGCTGCAGCTCAGAAATTTTCACCATGACTGGGTCGCAGGAGGGCTACAGCACCTAGTGCTTCAACACCCGCGGCCTCAAAAAGCTTAACCTAAAGACTGCCAGGAGCTCCCTGCATTGCATTGACAAAATCTGGGGTCGGGCCATGACTGAGCCTGCCGGGGTATCACGAGCAAGAATCAAAGGTGAAGGGCGAAGTGCAGCCAAAAGGCTGGCTGATTGAATGTGCTTCGTAAAACGTCCGGTGAAGCACGCGAAAGCCAGAAGCGCTGCTGGCACTAAAAGGAGCACCTTTGCTACCCGAAGCAATTTAGGACGAAGCTTCGGCCGCTCCATGCTTCAAAACTCAGCACCGATCCTGTTGCCGCTTTTGGGCCTCACACGGATCGTGTGCACAAAATCGTTTTATGGCACGTCGCTTGTAAATCACAACAGCAATCACGGTTACAGAGTCTTGAATGCACGCTCGGGGGGGGTGTTGTTCTCTCGGCTGCAATCTCGAAGCAACTACACATGTAATGTGCCTACAAATGCTGAACACAGCCAGACGGAGCCAAACGGCCGCATTGCACCCGCACAGTTGTCGACAGTGCTGTTTTAGCTTCGAGTCTTGGCTGCTCAAGATATCTGCAGCTTCCTCCAGCACATGTATTGCTACGACTCGAGAAATAGTAGTCGGTGGTTGGAGCGGTCCTGGAGGCGGTGGTGGAGGTGGAGGTGGTGGAGGTGGTGGTGGTGGGTTGGGGCTGAAGTAGTAGAAGCAATAAAGGCTTTGGCAGCAGTAACTGTGTTAGTGTACACCAGCAGCAGAAGTAACTCGTACATACATGCATACATATACATA